CGCAACTTTAAATATAATTATCCTGTAGCGTCCATGATGACATGCTTTGACAAGATTTTTAACTCATTTTACAGTTATTCAGCAGTTATTTCTCATGCAGTTACTTCACACAGCTGCCACAGTCTAAGTTAGGCTCTTTGTACGCTTGTTGTTCATACACATTAATTAGCAACTGTTTGTGTCTGTTTAATGAACTGCAATTCGATTATATTTAACAGAATAATTCCTTGAAACCAAGTTTCAGTGAGCTAAAGTTGCTGTCCAATTTCAAGGAAGTAAGTTTCAAAACCAATGAAATCATTTGCTTAACGTGACATAATGTTTCCATATTGCCTTCAAACTGCTTGCCATTAATTCATGCCATGCTTTACCTGTATTCTTGATAACATTTCTAATGTTATAGATTGTGAAACTTTCAGAATTAAATTTCATCAACACTAATATGAATAACCTTGAAGATATTTATTTGGGTAAACACCACACAGCAACAAATAGAAAAAGTATTAAAAAATATTTTTGCCTACTATGCCGAAACTCTAGAAGAACAGGATGTTTATTTTCAGACTTTAATTTATTCGTTTCATTTTCTTCTTCGAGCCTTTTCGAAGGCAAAAGATTGTCTAGATGCAATTATTCACATTGATAAATATTAATAATGTTTGTATCATAGATCATATTAATAAATTTTAATTCTAATTTCTATAAGTACAAATGAATATGGTCTTTTTACTGATCTTTTTTAGAAGCAATAATTGTCTGGTATAATCCTTCTTATTTAAACATTGCAACAAACAAACAGCATTATTGTCTATCAAGGAACAAATTGAAACACAACTTTAGGGTACTACTATATTACAGCATACTACCTCATGTCATATCATTTATGAACAGTTGAGCTTATTTTCTGTGCAATTACTGTCAATCAAGCTGTTGACTTTTACGTAAAGATTTCTTTTACATACAAACACAATATGCATTACAAACCTTTAGTTTAATAATTACAGCTTAAAAAATACACTTTTTAAATTTCTTTAGCATTTGATGTTATGCCCTGATAAACACACAAGGCACTTTAGCTCGAGGTATTGACTTAACACATCATATAAAATTCTCGAAATGATGGGGGGAAACATAAATCTACAAAAACATATTAAAAATAACTATTTTTTCCTCCCTCCTTGAAATAAGTTAAGAGAATTATGAAAATGGTTAATAAATGTCAAGTAATAAACAGTACAAAATATCTGGAAGTCTAATGAAAAATTCAAGCAAAGTAATAAAAGTTCATGCAATAATGCAGTTTGAAACTATGAATTACAGCTATCAAATTCTGCGAACACAGAGGTCGAAATCCAAGACAAGTTCCTTAATATTTTACACAACACAACAGAACAGAAGGACTGAATACATGTACAGTTGAAGACCATTACATCAATGCATTTATTGCTAAATGGGCAAAAATGTTAGGAAATACAGAAAATGCATTTGTCTTCCTGCTGGTATTAAAGTTTTAAACCAGGAGTTTTTAATACGAGGAAATAAACACAAAAGAAAGGGAAAGATAAAAAAAATAAATAAATAAAAACATTATTCAGATATCGTATGAAATTACTACTGAATGTTATTAAATTGTTCCAAACCGTTAAGTCATATGGCAGTGAAAGGCACATGAATTATAATTCTCAATATTATTTTAATGGCCTTCATATTTCAAAATGCAGCATTTTTGCTATCTGTGCATTATGCCAATTGTATTTTTCTTAGAACTAATTACAAAATAATGATGGTGAATAAGTAAACAACAGTTATTTTTGCTTCTTAGGGTAATCAGCTTTAATTTTATTTCATTTTTTCAATACTACTGTATAACTTATCCATTACTGATTTAAGAATCAAATGAATAATAAAGAAGTAACATTACCAAAATTTTAACTACCTATCAGGTTATGGGAAATTGATATCCAGAAAATTTAAAACACGTTTGAATCCATAAAAATAATGCACTTTTATTACAACTTGGCAATATCTTCAACTGAAGTTCATACCTAAAATACTCCAGTTTTCCAAAATTAAATATGCATTTGTTATTTGCTTCAAATGTTAAAATGAAACTAGACAGTACTAAACAAAAATAGCAATAATTTTCTAAAACATTAAATAATTTATTAAATACTTAACTATAGAAAATTAATGCAGCTGATGCTCATTATATTGACCCATCGCACCCAAATGAAAAAGATAAAATGAATGGATGCTAAAACAAAAATGGATTTAACATACTTCATCAGCTGAGAACTTTTCATATTATTCACTGCAACAGAACAGTAATTGTAGTAAATTATCGTTAAGTTTGAATTATAGTACATTTTAACTATGCACTAATATTAGTCCTATGCATTTGTAAGCAGTTTAGGTACGCTTAAATTCATTTGGTATTATTATATTAGGTACACTTAAACTGCAGTTTTATTTTTATTTTGCAATAATTTATGTGAAGATAAGTAAAGTGAATAATTTAAAATTTTTCTTCTTGAATTTTCAGCATGTTTTCCTTTTTCACACATTTTTTTATTAAGATTACTCAATGATTCTGTTTGATACATTTGACAGGTTTGTGCATACTAAAGTGTACATTATTCAGCATATTTTTAATACAAAATGTACACTAACTCTCTTTTCTGCAAAGACATTACATTTTATATTATACTGAAATTTTATTTCATTGCAAGGAAGAAAGGAATTTAGTCTATAAATTGACAAAATTAATTTTACACCACCATAATAAGTTTATTTTTAAAATACAAATAAAAGAAGTTGACATCCATTTTTAGAAGAAAACTAGTAAAGAATCTTGCGCATCTCTAAGGATCAGACGACAGCAGAAAATTTTATGGGGTAGGAGTTGGGTATTTATTCATTGGTACCCACTTCAAATGATGAAGACTGAAAGAAAAACATTATATGTTTCAAAATGTTTCAGAAGAGCAGAATGTGAAAATACATTCTTTTCTTATCTCTGTGGTTTGCTCAATTTCTCTAGACAACATTTTGTGAGATTTTTAAATAATTTTCATCACTGCTAGAGAAAATATTAATTTACTTAACTACTAAATCATGACTGATTTGGTAGTTCTCTAAAAAATTTATTTAAGGACCAGAAAAATCTGAAGTAACTCTTAAATGTTTGAATATTTATATCTCAGTTTACAAGATATTACAAATTATAACAAAAGATTACATTTTCTCCCTTTTAATTCACAATTATGAGAATTTAAGTGTACATATATTTAAACAGCTAATAAACATAACGAAAAAATTTAACAGTTTTGGGGGAATCTAACACATTCATTTTAGGTGATGAAAGAATTTTTATTATTTATTTATTTATTTATTTATTTTAGAATCTCTATTAAAAAATAACTGAAAAGGTTTAGATTTTAATAGTCACTCAAAAGGGTATGTTAATTTATTTCTTTAGCTCTTGCTAAGTTTGCAGTCTATATTTAATCAAAAATGTAAGTTTCTCTAAAAAAAAGAGGTAAAAAATTTCTAATCCTTAAAACTTGCTTTTTTCTCTTTTTTAAAAGTTTTTAAACATAGTTTATTATTAAGAGATAATTAATAAAAAAAAATCTGGCTGCTAATTTCACAAAATCGAACATTTTTAACAACTGCATCTCACAGCTTTCATTTGGCATAAATTTACAGTATTTTTTTATTTTCAGTCTTTTGTCAGTTACGTATCACATCAAATAACTTCCAGTTTACCTAGAAGATAGTAACAATTTTTTGTCCTTTTATTATGGCAACGTGTTTTGTTTATCCATTTCAAATATTCAGTTTTTACACAGCACAGTTTTTGTTTTATTAAGGATAATTTTCTTTGCATTTGGGCACAAAATCGAAACATTTTTAACACCTGCATAGCAGCATATGTTTAGAATTTCCTCTACAGTATTAAATGTTGTATACAGTTTTACATATTTTTTTTTCAGTCTTTTGTCAGTTTATCACATCAATATTCAGTTTACCTAGAAAGATAGGTAACAATTTTTTTGTCTTTTTATTATTAACTTTTTCTATGTTTATTAACTATATTTCTGAGTTAATTTTACATGTTCAGTCTTTTCTCACTTCATTATATCAAAATTCTGTGTTGTCCACGCTGTTTTTGGCTGTAACTCAATATTCAATTTTCTTCGGTCTTTTTATTATTAACTGTTTAGGTGTTCATCATTTTATTTATTAAATACCAAGTTTTTCTCACTTACAGCATATAAAATTCAATTCAACAGCAAAATGGCAAGATATTTAAAAACAGCATATCTTTAGAATTCCAAATAAAGTGTTAAAAGTTCCAGCACATATTTTTATAGTCATTATATTATTTCTTTTAAAACTAGCCACTCGCATGATCAGCTCGATAAAATAGTTATCATAAAAAAGGAAAAGTATATAATGATTTTGACGAGTCCAGCTAGTGTAGTTTCATAAAAATATTGATAATTTCTAACTAATAATTCATCTCATAATTTTAATATATATTTATTTAAATCAATCATATTAAAAAGGAGAAAAAACATTCTTAAGTATTATGTTTATTGCTTTTAAACTGGTTAATTTATTACTTAAAAACTTTCCAGATTAAATTTGAAAGCTTAAGCTTTACTGAATGGCAACGTGCTGGAGCATAGAAGACAAAAGTATTTTATTCCGGGCACAGCAACACAGCCGAGTTTGTTAATTAAACTTATATTTTTAATGGCAACAGTTTCATGCACTGGAGATGAAAATTATCTATTGTGAAGTGTTGCTACTGCTGGCTTTCAAATTGTTGAGTTTGTTAATAAAAAATTCATCACAACTTTACAAAATGTGAAATAAATAATAAAACAAATTCAAAATTCGGGCTTCCACATACACATGTTTGAGTTATGAAAAATTTATGGCGTTAAGATACCATCGTCTTTTTCAAAATGTGAGGAACATACACATATACGTGCAGTTTCTTCATTATTTAATTTCTTTAAAAATAATACAGGAGGATAATATTTGGTGACAACAATTTGAAAAGTAATATACAGTTTATAGTGAGCCAAAACAAAATCCCATTTTGAGACAACCCTTTTGGGCTAAAAAGTAAAAAAACAATATAAACATGTTCCATTTATATTATTACTAAATGGCAAAAACAAAAATGAATTTTTATGCAAACAAATCAAACTATGAGAATAAAAAATATGCTCACCCATAATAGTTGTTTTAATAATAATGAAAACAGCATTTACTTATGCCATTATCATTACAGGTCTGGAGGAAATGCATAATTTAGTGATTTCTACAATTTAAAGATATACAATAACATCAATTTAAGAGTACATATATATATCTTTTTCTTTTTACTTGCGTAATTATTTTTTTATTACAGACAACTGCATACAAAGATTCTATTACATTTAAGAGTCAACTTACAATTAAATTCTAATGAATCTGAAAGAAAAATGAACATAACAAACCAATGCACATATTGGCTAAAAATATTTTATAAAGCATAAGTGTCTACAGAAAAAACATAATTGTGATTCATAGTGGAAAAAGAATTCAATTCTCACTTTCAAATTTGAATATCAAAATGAAGTTTGAAAAAAAATCAAACAGTATCACATATGAAGTAAACTTCAGTTACAATACATTTGCAGCACACACAGATACATACATTTCTCTGAAATTAAACACTCGTTTCAATTACTTTCATTTTAAATAATAATAATCACTGTATACTCTTCTTCAGATGATGATGAATATGAAAGCAAACCTAAAATTTGAAAAAATATGGATTTTTAAAAATTTGCACAGAGAAAAATATCTGCATAGATAAAGTAATAAATCCAACATAACAATAGTTCATTTCCCAAATATAGCAGTATATTTTCCAATACATTAACAACAAACTCTTATAACCGCTCCTGCTACTGAAAGCAACTGCGGTGTTTTGTAACTATTCTAATTGTTACAAAACAATTGTTAAAGTGTAACGATTGGAATCCACGTTTCTAACCACTCCGTTATCTCACTCCAGATTAGGCAGGAGGAGACAGGTGCTAACTACCAAAGTGGGTAAAAGCCAATAGGCTAAAACTGGGCAGAGCACGTCAACTAAGCAAAAGAGCTTTAAAAAAAGCAGCCAAGCGGCTAATAGAGCAGGGGTGCCTTTCGGCTAAAAGGAAAGAAACAAAAAGCCAAAAACTAGTCTAAGAGGCGGAGAGCTATTACGGCTAAAAAGAAGGGGAACAGGCGAAATGAAGCAAAGCCTATCGACTAAAAGGGGCTGAGAGGAAAGGCTAAACTTAGAGAAAGCTTTGTAAACTTAAAACAAAAAAGGGGGGAGGTCATGGACGGCTAAAACAGGAAGTGAAGGGACAGCCATGTGAAAGGTTACAATGCTAGTGTAATTTAGGGGAAAAAAAAATTTTTACATAAATGAACAATTAATTAAAGCAGAGTAAAATTTAAAATGAACATATATACAAACAAAATAACAATCATAACAAATAAAATAATAAGCATAATCTTAACAATAATCATAATCAAATAACATAATAACAGTAATTAAAATAAATAATAATAATTAATAATACAATAACATACACAAATAATAGACAAATTCAAATAAACATTATAAACAGGGATACAATTTGCTGCATGGTGTAAGTACACGCACTACAGGTAACTAAATAAGTTGATAAATAAATACATTACATTGAAGTGAATGGAAGGAAAAATAACAATCAGAATGACATAAACATTGTCAGATTAACGATAAACAATAGAAGTCTGAGTCATTTGCATGCATAAGTTGCATAATTGACTTCATTGGCATTAAGAGTAGAATTGCATTTTCCCAAAATGTTCCCAGTGAAGGCAATGGCGATTGGAAAAAGAGATGTTCTTTCTTTTGCACTGTTATTGGAAACAAGACGTGATGTAATGGAGAAGCTCCTGCAAACTCTGCACACTTGTCCCACAGCCACATCTTGTGTTCTTTTTATGAAATCGTTTGAATTTATTGAGGAAATTTACTATGATTTGTCAAGACTTCATTTAAAATGCGATCTGATTGTATACGAGAGACAGAAATTTGTGGGGAAGAGGCATAAGTCGAACGCCCTGTAGAATCCTCATCCCATCTTTGTTGAGTCTCATTCCATCGTTTGCTAAGTTTTAAGCGATTCTTGCAGGATTTGATGTTTGGCCGAAATATCTGAAAGTGGCACTTCAACATCTATCTGATCTTGTTGTGTTGCTCTTTTCGCTTCGGAATCTTCTCTTTCGTTCCCTGCGATTCCAATGTGAGCTTTAATCCGATTAAGCTCTAGAGAATGGGAATCTAAAAGAGTTTTATGATTTCTTTTAAGGCTAAGAATGCATTCTTTTCGTAATTTTATCACTATTTAAACTTTGAAGGGAACTACGACTATCTGTAAAAATACGAATAGGAATGTTGTCATTCCAATGTCCAATACATTAAATAAAACATTTAAATAATTTGTCAATGAAAATGTAGCGGCTTTTTTCTCTTTTCAAGCGATTGTATTAATATTTTTCTTGACAAATCAGAAATATATTATAACTATTATCAGATATTTTAGTTAAATCACTAAGAGATTTTATATAAACACTATATTTAATTTCAAATGCTTTAGTTTCTGAAGTGCTTTTTGTTAATTCGTTTTTGGGAATCTATTAATCTGTACATCAAAATACATATATTTTTATATCAAAAATGAAAATTATGCTCTTTTAACAATGCATATTTTTTTAATTTTCTTAAAATTTTTGTCATGACAAATCTTTGAAATATATAATTTCACTTTGTCACACTTTTTATACGTTTTGATTAGATTCTGAAGTCTCGAAATAATAAGTACAAGATTTCAAATGTTGCATAAAGTGTATCACTAAGTAGTGCTCTTGAAGAATCAAGCATAATTTACAACACATACAATATAAAACATAACATGAGGTTTACCACCACACCAAATAAATAAAAATGTAGTAACCATTCCAAAAACGGAAAACTACTAACAGAAAATATCTTATATCAATAAATAGACACACCTGGTCCTGTATATTATGTCCTCATCAAAACATATGAAGCACTTGTTTGCTTTTAAATTATCCTTCTAATGACTACATACAAAAATTATTAGTATCCCTCTGTCATATATTTTGCATTTGTAGAATATGATTTACAAACGTAAGATTTATTCACATTTAAACGTAATCGCTAAAATCAGGAAACAGACTCCAGGAGCATCCTGAGACAATGATTACACATCCGCCAAGATATCAAAAGTGCCAAAAAGAATATGCCTAAACACGACAAATCATTCATTATTATTAAATAAACCGTCAATTATTCATGCAATGTTACTTTAAATCTCAAAAATACAAAATGTGAGTTTTGGAAGATTATTGCAGTCCAGTCTTTAAAGAGACAACATAAAATCACTTACCATGCTTTGCCTCTTTGACTATGAGTTATTGCTGTATAGTAATAAATTCAAAGACTCCTAAGGAAAAATAAAATAAATTATTATAAACTGAATATTCATATTTGAATACAACTATACATTATCTATATATAATATGCACACACTAGCATACTACTCACTGAAAAATCAATAGTTTTAATAACTTCTTGTTGCAAAATATGTAGCACCCATCTGATTTTGAGTCATTCATTGAAATTCCTACATCTCGCAGGTTCAAGATTTTAGATTTTAAATCCCTATTTTAACAGTATGCAGGATAATTCTTTATCACTTATATACTCCTACATTAATATGGATCATTTAATATTTCACATGCAAAACACAAGTTATCAATTCCTAGGATTAGAGTGCTTCAAAACATTTCTAAAGAGAACATCAGATTGAGAATGTATTATATATACAGTGAAGAGCAAAAGCACTATGACCACCTACTTAATTACTTGCTGGACGATCTTTGGCTTCCAAAAGAGCTGCAACTTATCATTGCATGGATGGCACAAGACCTTGGTAGATGACTGGAGACAGGTTGTACTAAATGTCTCAGCAGCAGTTAGGCAAAGTCTAGATATTCTAACATGGTGGTGACTGAAGTCTGAGCTGCCGCTCCATGACATCCCAGATGCACTCTATCGGGTTTAGATAGAGTTAGGTGACCAGGACATTAATTGGAATTCATCCTTATGCTTAATCGAACCATTACAACACAATTTGAGCCTTGTGACATGGGCACTATCCTGCTAGAAGATTCCATTTCCAGTTGGGGAGAAAGATGCCATATAAGAGTGAAACTGATCCACAATTACGTTTAGATAGTTCACAGCTTTCATGGTCTGTTCTACCACAACTAAGGGCCCCAGAGCTGCCCATTAGAATGTCCCCTAAAGCATAATACCACCACCACCAGGCAGAGTATGACTTGCTGTATGGGGGGGGACAGCAACTATTTGCCTGGAAGATGGCATACCCTGAAACTACCATCTATATGAAGAATGAGAAATCGTAATTCATCCGACCAGGCAACTGTCTTCCACTAATCCACGGTCCAGTCTCAATGTTCCCATGCCAGCTGCAGGCGTAGCTGACAATGACACTTATTCAACAGAGACACACGATTGGGACATCTGCTGTACAGTCTTATATCCAACAGTGTCCGCTGAATTGTGTGTTCCAAAACACCTGCTCTTGTACCTGCATTGTATTGAACTGTCAGCTGAGCCACTGTATTGTGCCAATTTTACTGTACCAAACGGGACAGTCTTCGGCGTCCTTTTTTCTTTGATGATGCATGGACATTCAACATTTTGATATCTACTGCTAGTTTCACCATCATTTCCCCACTTTGCATAAATACTAACAATGGAAATCATGAACAACCTACCAGTTGTGCAGTTTCAGAGATACCCATCCCTAGTCTTCATGCCATTATAATCTGCCCTTTATCAAATTTGCTTAGATCAGCAGCCTCTCCCATCACTTGCAAAAGTAACTGCAAGAATTATTTCTTACCTTCTCCATCAGCAATTAAATATCATTTCCACTTAATCACATGCCCTCCATGTCAACCAGACAATTTCATTGAAAAATGTGGGGATAGTCATAATGTTTTGGCTTGTCAGTGTATGTATACAATACTTATATATAGTATCACAAATGATTTTTGGGGGTTTTTCTTCAATTCTTCTGACTTTGGTTTATTTTACATAAAAATCATAAAAAAAAACTTCACCAATATATGAACACCTCTAGCAGCCTATCAGCTCAACCAACTGAAATAAAATTTCAGATATCATTATTTGAAGCTATATGCTCCAGATTGTAAGGATTTAAACAATACAGTTCTCACAGTTACAGTGAAAAGACTTTCAAATTTTTGAATGGCAACACCCACCTTTTTCCTGTGTCAATTGATCAGTGCACTGAAAAACTATAAATGGCACTGGAAGGATACACACATGGCGGAAATTTCTGGTGTAAAACATGTGCAAAGAACAGCATTGTAAAGGGCTAATGACAACACAGAGAGGAGACGCACTAATGCGATTTACAAACTTCAAAGGGATACATAGAAGAAACACAAATTACAGAACACAATATGCAAAATACTGCTTATGGTAAACCTTTCACAAATAGTGTGGGAAGATTGTTTCTTCAATCAGGTTTTTGAATGTGCTATACACCCAGTTTCTGAAACCTTTGTTGAACCTAAAACCTTTGTTCTAGTGGGTAAAAAAAAATTTCTCTTTTGTTGATGGGCTCTTTTATATTTTCATACCAACAGAACCTAGAATCTTCTGCTTATATGCAGCTGCAGTACTTGTCAAAGAAAAGACTTCCCAATATTTCCATTAATAATGAATGCACTTGATAACTTCTGCCCTTTATTAAACTTGTCAAAAAATAAGTTCATTTAGTTATCACAGCTAACCAGAGGAAAAACTTAAGAAACTTTTAAATTTGGAACCAGAAGGAAATACTACTTCTGAGAATTTAAACCTGGTTCAGCCATCGTAGACCGCTACAAGAGGAAATTTTTGATTCATGATATTTGATTGGTTTATTTGATCAAGGGCAATCCATGCAAGAGATATTTGTCTAAGACATATAATTACACATATTATTATTTACTTATTCAATTTTTCCTATGCCTTTTCTACATTTTCCCCTCTTTCCACTGCAACTATACACTTATGATGTATGATGTTACAAGATCTAGGATGCACTGCCTTTAGACCAAACAAGTCCTTTCACATAAAATCTTGAGACTTAACTGCATCATACTTTTTTCTGCTATTTAGAGACTTTTTAATGAGACAGCTTAACTTCCTAACTTTATTTTTAAATTCACATAGTGGTTCCTTTATTTCCTTTTTTTCAGGTTTTCTTTAATGTAATTTTTGAAAACTACAAGTTTTTGTTTGAAAAATTAACATAATGTTGAAAAAATGTGAAAATAATGTTGAAATTTTATAAATATGATTAAAATGAAGTTAAAGCTGATTTATTATTTATATTTAAATATAGTTCCAGCATAACAACCAAGAGTATTTTATAGTTTTAATTAGCATAACTATCAATCATTAGAATCACAGATCATTTATATTCAGTCCTATTACTTAACAGTCATTGTTGCATTTATGAAGGTTGCAATGTTTACCTTTGAATAATCTCATATTTTTAAAATATTTATTTCATGCATAAATACACACTGAAAAGTTAAATGAATCATGCAGTAACTTCTCTTACACATCCTTTTTCTACAGAAGCATAAAAGGATTGCTAAACAAAGAAGCCCATATCCTAATACTTACAACTAAACTTAAATCAGGTTTTATTTCATAGAAGTTGTAATAAAGATACATCTGCAGGGTATGAAGAGACAGGTGAATGTATACATCGTGCTAATTATGAAACAATGTTTATATTTAAAAATGTATATACATATAATAAACTTAATAAAGATGTAAAGTAATTAAAACTAGATATGTAACTGGCCTCACTGAGAAAGTTATGTATATAAAGTGAATAAATTAATGATTTAGGACTGCCAGCATTTCATTTGTTTACAGCATCTTACTGTATAATGGAAATCAACTAATTCTTACATTTCTGTCTCAAAATCTAAGTATTCATCTGTTATTATTAGAGCAGTAGGGATGGTACTACTTGTTTCCCAAAAAGAAGACTTGGTCTCATGTTAATTTTTTCTGCAAAAGACCTGTTGGGGCTTATTTTCAGTGGGCGTCTTTTTTTTTTTTTTCATGCACAATAATTAACATTCAGTCATGTTCAAGAAGCACATTTTTTCAGGTTCAAGAAGTACACTGCGGGGGGGAGGCGAAGGACAGTTCAATATCTCCCATTCTACTGGGCCGATTGATGAAATTCAACTTGCATTTTTCATATCTCGAAAGCGCGACATTGGATGTGTATTAGATTTATATATAGCATTGTTCTACTATAGGTATTTTGACAAAAAATCTAACATTTTCTGAAATGGCATACCTGTTTTTTTCCATATTTCGATTCTACGGCTCAAATTATGCCAAACTGTTAAGTTTTGTAAAAATTGCAAGACTAATTTTCAAAAAATTAGCTTGCAAAATTTTAGCTCCTTCATGTTAATTGAATTTTATATATATTTATTAATATCTCTTTTTATTAAACTTATTTGATTCTTCCTTACCTATTTTGAAATAGGTCCATTCCAAATAAAATTTGCCTATTTTTTTAGATTTATTTTTAAAATTGCATTTTTAAATAATTTTGAAAGTAGATGTATCTCTAAGCATACCTGCAAAAAATTAGTTTTTATTCAAAATTTCCTAAGATATAAGTGAATTTACACTTTGGCGCATATTGAAATTTGGTGTATTTATTCTAAGCAATAATAATGAAAATATGGTTTACGCTCTTTCTTAAATTATTTGAAAAAACGAACGATGACTTTTTTTCCCACTCATGAACAGAGAAGAAAAAAGAAAGGAAAATAGGTTGCTATAAATTAAGAAGTTTTGCCAAGTGAATTATTATTGCTGCAAACTGAAAAAATTCCCCAAGATAAATTTTTCAATTTCTACATAAACTTCTCACCAAAAATTACACAATTTAATATCTGGGCATAATTTGAGTTGTCAAAATCGAAATACGGAAAAAATTGGATGTTATTTCAGAAAAAGTTCAATTTTATATCAAAGCACTTATGTTAGAACAAAGCTATATATAAATCTAATATATATCCCAAGTCACGCTTTCGAGACATGGAAAATGAAATTTGAATTTCGTCAATCGGCCCATTAGAATGGGAGATAAAGAACTCCCCCCCCTTTTTTTGTGCAGTGTACATTTAGTTACATTAAAGAAACATTAAAAATGAAAATTATTCTAATACAGATATGTTGCCTTCTGGAAAACACTGTCATAAAGCTCCAAATCATCAATTACAGCCTGAATTTTTGCGACTTCCTCAAAGATCATTAGCCCCATCCTCTCGTATTCAGCAACAGAACTCTCCTTATTCA